CATGAAATTCTATATGTTTAGCTCAAAACTTATGTTCTGTTGATGAAAACAAAATTGAAAAGAATACAAATAAAAAGCAGAAGTTATGTTACTACGTAGTTGAAATTACAATGTGTTATTCAATTATGTTTGATTTTGACGCAAGAAACAGAAAAACTATCAATGGATCATATATTTGTTGACTATGTAATCTTATTTTACAACAACTATGTTAAATGTCACGTGAACATCGTCAATGTAATATATGTTGATCTCATTTGAATATTAGATGTTTCTCATCGCGGGATATAATCAAATTTACAGAATATCTTGAACAAACCCAGTTATCAAATTATTTTCTATTCCAAAAGTAACTTTTTTTAAAGATACTGCTCGGTCACGAGAATGATATATTTAAGGATTACGAAATATAACAAAAAGAACGTACTTAATAATATTTTAGTTAATTACAATGTGAATACATTTGATGAATTATTATTTTACTGACATCTTAAAATTAAGTGTACTAATCCAATATGTGATTTTTGTGGAGAAAAATTCAATTCAATTTAATGATAGGACATGACCAGCACAGACAAAAATGCCTGTACTTTGGTTACTGAAAGAATTCGTTTAAAAGAAAAACAGAAAAGTTGTATAAGTCGATGGTATGTTATGCGACTACCAAAAAAACAACGACTGTTATGGGAAAATATGATATTTTAATAGGATGATATAGCTGTTCGTTAAAATTTTAAAAATACATCTTGTTCGATTATCATTTTTATAACAATTATTAGATCAACTTGAATAAGCGAACCTCTTTAAGTTTGTCGAACTCAATTCTCAGAATCTTATGTGAATGATATTTATCAACAAATAATTGTTGTAATAATATGTCAATTAGAGTTTACAAATGCAGGAAGAAAACAATCCGAGAATTGATAGTGCTTGATAAGTCAGGCGCAGAGGGGGGGGCATATTGAATAAACAATCGAATGTGATCGCGTAACAGCTTGTGGCCAGGCCGATGCCACAGATATGTGTTTCATGAATAGTTATTGGTTGGAAAAATCGACGTGGCATTTTAAATTAATCTCGAAATAGATTTAATAGCACCCCACGTTATTGCCAAATTTTGTTTTTCTGTGTACTATAAAATTTCCAAAATGTCCTTCATCGTTTCTTCAAGGTCACCGCCTCCAGAAAAACGTTTTTTTTTCTTGAAACATCGTAAAAGCAAGATCATAATCATAATAAAAGTCATAGAAAAATGTATCGTTTTAGATCTTAAAATTTTCGCTACAACATAAACACATTCACATTATTCTTCTATCAAGATCTGCAATAAGATCTTAGACACAAATTTGTAAAAGTTTGGTAACGCGTATTATAGACCTTCAGTTTGTTTTTGTTTGCTTTTTATGAGTTTTATTATAATAGCATTTCATACAGGTAATTATATGTATAGCTTCTCAAAAGAGATACTTTTTAATTAAGCATGCCGCTATTTGAAAGTGCCTATAGCTATTTAAAAAAATGGGCTATTAAAAATAGTACATCTATTTCTAACATCATAGTATTCTTCAGTTACTTCCTTTTATTCTTTCTAATTCTGATCACTAACAGTTCTTTTTTCCAATCCTACTCAAACCATATATGAGAAGCAATTCAAGATTTTGTTTCAATCAATATTAAGGCATTCCTGTAGGTATTTAAAATTGCATATCTTTTCATAACTATCTTTATCTGTTGAAAAAAAGCGAGATGAAAACAGTGAAATAATAAACACGATGTAAAACTTTTATTTAGAATCATATATATGTAAATTAAATTTATCTCTCAGAAAAAAAGATTCGTTTAAATGATACAAACTGTTAGCGCCAACAGGTGTCGTTGGTTGACACTAAACGTTTTCTTGAATGTCGTTTTGTTTCTCTAACCTGTTCGTTTCTATTACGCCGTTTCGTTTCGTTTTTAGTTAGTTGTTGTTTTATATTTTCCACACCGGTCCATTTATTGTTTTTCTATTATTACCCTTATTATTATTTTTGCTTATTTCGATGTTATATTTGTTTTGTTTTAATTTAAATAAAACATCATTTAACATTCATTAGCTTAATCCTGGTGTGTAACAAACCGGGTAAGCTATTTCGTATTTGTGAACTCTCGTAAGGGCAGACAACATTCTCATTTTACGTGAATAAGCTATTCACATAATTAATTAAATCACAAGACATAACAACCGAGAGTCTCACACAAACAGTTTATTTATTTATTCATTTAGCTTTAAATCTGTGTACCTATTCGAATTTGCGTATAACTATTTAATTTTTGGAATAGCTTCTAATGGATAAATATTGTTATTAAATAAAATACAGTTACTTCTTGCAAAATAAATTAAAATATATTCAATATTCTATCGAAATAGGATGCTTTTTTAATTATTATGCAAAATAATTTAATATGAAATTAAAAAAGAAAAAATTCATTTGATCTTTACAACAAAACTTTTCAAGTCCTTATTTATTTACATTTCTATATAAATACATATATCTGATATACTATATACTTATTTTCAATTACAATATATTACACATTTTTTATCTATTGGGTTGGCAAGAAAGTTTCTGCGTTGTTTTTGCAAAACTTCATAGAACAGCCAAGAGAGTTCTAGAAGTTTCCATACTAATGGTGTATAAAGGGGACACGAATATCTTTCGAACAATAAAAAAATATAAATATGGATGTTGATCTCGAGTTAGGAATGAACATATCTTGCAAAGAGCTGCGAGTGCTTTTACTTCAGGAATTCCGTTTGGGTCACAAAACAACGGAAGCAACAAGCAACATATGTAGCACGATGAGCAAGGATGCACTCTTCATTCATACAGCGCAAGATTGGTTCAATTGGTTCAAAAACGATAACTTCGAACTCGACGATTTACCTCGTGCCGGAAGACCACTTGAAGTGGATATGGATGTTTTGAAGCAGCTTGCCGAAGAAGATCCTAGATTGACTACACGGTGTTTAGCAGAGCGACTTGGGTGCTCTCATGCTACAGTGGAAACACATCTGCGCGAATTAGGCAAAACGTGGAAATATGGAGTTTGGATACCACATGAATTATCACCACTTCAGCTCCAACACAGAGTTGACGCTTGTATGAAATTATTAACGTCTCATCACAACTACCAATGGCTCCACAATCTTATTACTGGCGATGAAAAGTGGGTGTTGCATGTTAACCACACACACGCAAGCGACAGTGGCTGGGAGCTGACAAACAGGTGTATCAACGCCCAAAAATGATCTCCATCCAAAGAAGATCATGCTTAGCGTTTGGTTGGGACCAAAAGGAATTATTCATTGGGAACTTCTGCCAACTGGCTGTACCATCACTGCTGATCTCTAGTGCAAACAATTGAACCGGGTTGCAGCAAAACTTCAAGGGAAGCAGGACAAAATTTATTTTTTGCATGACAACGCCAGACCTCATATCGCAAAGTCGACTCGGGAAAAATTATTGAAGCTCGGATGGATTACTATTCCACATCCACCTTATTCTCCAGACTTGGCTCCTACAGACTACCACTTGTACCATTCGCCGTCCAATCATCTAAACGAGAAAAAATTCGACGACGAAAAGCACCTCAAAATGGATCTTGCCGACTTCTTCGGCCAAAAGTCCCAGGACTTCTACGAACGTGTGAACTTTTCGCTACCAGAGCGCTGGCGACAAGCCATAGATACTAATGGAGCATACATTGTTGAAAGCTAGTTCTATTCTTGAAGTTAAAAAATAAAAATAAAAATTTCGAAAAAAACACAAAAACTTTCTTGCCAACCCAATACATTATGCAAATTTTCATTTAAATAATAAATATTTTTAAAATAATACAAACTTTATTTTTTATTCAAATCTTAAATATTTTACGAAATTAATACAAATTTTCATTTCATGAATAAAATATTTTCAAGGAACCAAATTAATTTTCGTTTCAGTAATAAATATTTTCATTTCACTAATCATATATTTTGAATTCACTAATAAATAATTTTCGTTTTACCAATAAATAGTTTCATTTCACTGATAAATTATTTTATTTTTCTAATAAATTATTTTTTATTTTATCAATAAATTATTTTCATTTCACTGGTGGTAAGTAATTTTATTTTATCAATAAATTATTTTTTTTTACTAATAATTATTATTATTTTACTAATAAATTATTTTTGTTTTACTAATAATAATAATTTTGTACCAGTAATTTTTTTCATTTTACTACTAAAATTTGTAAAAATAATATACATTTTTTTTTTCATTTAAATAATACAAATTTTCTTTTCAGGAATAAAATATTTTCAAAGTAACAAATTAATTTTCATGTCAAGAATAAATATTTTGCGAAAGAAAACAAATTCTTTTATTTAATTCATTTCTTTTCATTTAACAAATAAATAAAAGAAGAAGAAAAGAAACATATGACGTAATCTTATATTTTAGCTTTTTTCTTTTCTTTGAAGCGAAAGAGTAAAAGAAAATTTCTTTTTTTTGTTCATTTATTTCAAAGTATAGAAAAAGAAACGAACAATGAAAAAACAATTCACAAGTCTTATTCGATAGAAAATCGTTGAACACGATTATTATTACGATCGGCGACATAGAGATTACCTTGTCGATCGAAAGACAAACCAGCGGGGAAGTTGAACTGATTTGCTCCTGCTTCTTTGCCATTTCCACCCACAATTACAGTGCCTTGTTTCTTGTCTCCTTGAGTCCAACGCATTACACGATGATTCGCCGAGTCTGCTACATAGAGTGTACCTAACGTATCAACAAAGATTCCTTGAGGATTCTTCAATTGTGTCAGAGCATTCCCTTCACCTTGTCCTCCAGCAACCACAATACCTTCTTTTGCGCCTTTATTCCATTTCATTACACGATGATTGTTGTTGTCTGATACGTAGACAGTCTGTTGTCGATCGACAAAGAGATATGTCGGGTAGCTGAGTTGATTGAGTTCATCACCTTCTCCATTACCACCAGCTACGAGAGTGCCATTCTTCTCACCCAATTGATATCGTCTTACTTCATGTTTTTTGTCGTCAGAAACGTAGAGATACCTCTGATCATCCATTGCTAATCCATAACATTGGATGTTGTCGACGAGTATTTCACCTTGTGTTGTACCGCTACGACGAGACCATCGTACAACTCGTTGATTCCCCCAATCACAAATAATGAGACTATCCGTCTCTTTGTCAATTAATAAATCAGTTGGNTTTTTGTTCATTTATTTCAAAGTATGGAAAAAGAAACGAACAAAGAAAAAGTAATTCACAAGTCTTATTCGATAGAAAATCGTTGAACACGATTATTACCCATATCGGCGACATAGAGATTACCATGTCGATCGAAAGACAAACCAACGGGAACGTTGAACTGATTTGCTCCTGTTCCTAGACCATTTCCACCCACAATTACAGTGCCTCGTTTCTTGTCTCCTTGAGTCCAACGCATTACACGATGATTCCCCTCGTCTGCTACATAGAGTGTACCCAACGTATCAACGAAGATTCCTTCAGGATAAGACAATTGTGTCAGAGCACTCCTTTCACCTTGTCCTCCAGCGACCACAATACCTTCTTGTGCGCCTTTATTCCATTTCATTGCACGATGATTCCTGTAGTCTGATACGTAGACATTCTGTTGTCGATCGACAAAGAGATATGCCAGTCCGTTGAGTTGATTGAGTACATCACCTTTACCATTACCACCAGCTACGAGAATGCCATTCTTCTCACCCAATTGACATCGTCTTACTTCATGCTTTCCTTCGTCAGAAACGTAGAGATACCTCTGATCATCCATTGCTAATGCATAACATCGAATGTTGTCGATGAGCACTTCTCCTTGTGCTGTACTACTATGACAAAACTATCGTACAACTCGTCGATTCCCTTGATCACAAATGATGAGACTATCATTCTCTTTGTCAATTAATACATCACTTGGATATTTCAATTGATTCAATCCATTTCCTTGGCCTTTACCACCAGCAAAAACTTGTCCATTCGTTGTGTCACCGTTCTTCCATTGCATGATACGATGATTCTCGTAGTCAGCAATAACCACTGTTTGATCATCATCAACGAAGAGACCATAAGGGCGGTAGAGTTGATTAGTGGCATCCCCTCCCCCGTGACCTCCAGCAATAGTCACGCCGTTCTGTGCCCATTTAGCATTAGCAGGAATATTAACTAGAAGAGAAAACGTATAAGAATAAAATGAAATCTTTCTAGAGTATAGCTGAAATAATTTCGAAAGTATCGAGTAAAATTCTTTTGAATAGATCATTTTTTCTATTTCTAGAAATTCCTTAGAATAAGTTTTTTTTCTATATACTGGAAGATTATTCTATAGAAACAATATAGTTCTCTCTAATGCTCTTTTTTTGGCATCAAAATAGTTCTATATAGACATGTATATTTTACTTTGTATTTTTTGAGAGTCTATATTTTCTATGAACATATAATAATTATATAACGATTTATTTCTTATATGAGCTTATTATATGCGTACGTTGTATTATTTTCCTATCTTGAGGGTGTCAATTTACAGTTTATTTTATTTAAAGTTAATTTTAAATTAAATAAATTGTTTGGATGGATACTCATCATTGCTGCTACTAGGAAAATACGTGACTTTAACAGTAGTAAATATACTAAACGAGAGGAAGACGTAGTATTTTAGGTTAATATTTGTTCATAATAGTCAAAAAATTTCTCTACAGATTATGCAGGATCCGTCACTTTTCTTCTTCAAAAACATCGGGATGCTCATTACTATATATATTTAATAACAAAATTCGTAGAAGAATGACTATAGCTTTAACTTTATCAAATATTTGACTTTAAATAGAAGCAATCAAGTCAAGAACTATGTTTATCTACTAGTTTTCAAAATTTAGTTAAATTATATTTTTGCTAGAATCTTTTTCGTTTTCTCTTCAATAGAGCATTTCTTACTTCTAGAATATTTTTAAGTTATAATTATAATGGAGCAATAGAAATATATATTGGAATGAGGAATGATTCTCGTTTAAATAAAGTATAGTGAAATATTATATGTAATTTATACAAAAAAGATTCAATCGCAAAAACACGTAGCACAGTATAAATTCTGATTCTGAAAATGGTATATGTAAACTCAACCTTCTAGCAACGCGTTGAAGCAGTTATTTTTCTATAGTCAATAAATGGTCCAAAGAACGCGAAATCCTATATCTCTTATCAATAACATTAGGTGTTTCCACCAGCTTCCTCCCATCGTTACATGAAGATCATTGGATCTTTCTTGAAGTACTTTCATCTTGTAGAGCTTTTTGCGCTGATCATTTTTTGTTTTGTGTTTTCAACGATTAGTTGAGAAATAAGAAAGATATCGAAGAAACATTAAAAATAAGGTTTTTCACAAAAAATGCAGTCTATTTCGGTTTTACGACGATTTCTCAATGAAGCACTCAATCGATTGAGCTAATTTTTTTAAAATCATCGAGACTGGTCGAAGAGCTTCGAAAAAGGTTGTTTTCGAAGTGGTTTGCACATTAAACTATTACACAGGACCCCTATAACTTTACTTTTCAAGGTACAAATGTTCCTTAAATAAAACTCTTAAATCGAATTCTGTTAGAAATTGGCTCTTGCCATTCGATAGAGCGGAACCTCCTCTATCGAACCAGTACAAGGGTTTTTCATGGGAGCTAGGCTTGGACAGAAAAATGCTAAAATTCCAAAAATGGATGCATTTTAGCAAAAGCGGGCTCGTATTTTGGCAGTAACTTTTATTTAACATTGCTGAAATGAAAAACTAATAACAAATTCAGAACCAGCACAAAAAAACTGGATCTAGGAAGGTTTCTTTTCAGATTCATCAGTGCATGGAATTCATTTTTTCCTTGGCCAATACTTATATTTTCTATCCTGGAAGAATAAAAATTTTTGTTAACAAAAATCTATTTGAAAAAAACAGGTCTGCATTCGATCAGATATGAATGAAAATCAACTATCTAACCCAAGAATGCTCTTCCTTCACTCCCAAGATGGTTTCTAGTATTAATTAGCATAGATCATTAGGTCTTCGTCAGCCAATTTCTCATCAATCTTCAACGTGGATGATGAAAATCTTGCAGTATCTGAAAGACGGATAGAAAATACCATGAATCATTCTAAAGCCCATGTTTTCATTTCTCGAATTACGAACGGATGTGATAGCATCACTTTTCGGATCGTATCACATCATTCACCGATGAATTTGTAATGAATAGTGAGTAAGGAGGACCAAAGTAAAGAGTTTTTATTGGTCTGTAAGAATATAAACGAACAGAAGGGAAAGAAAATATCAAAAATTTGTCTTCGAAGAGAAAAAGAGTTAATTTACATTTCGTGTTATAATGCCGATTGACTGGTGTGCTCATCCAGTAGCCCATCTTAGTACTACGAAACTCGGCTGCAGACCGAGTCATCCAAAAGGAGACCGCAGACTTCATGCCGAATTAACAAGACATATCAGCGAAACATATGGGATGATCGATGAAACAGGTCAGTTTCTCACTGGTTATCGTCTTTGTCGTACCTGTTATGAGAAAGAGTATGCAATATACAATGCTACGAAATCTCATCAACAGAATATGGGAGAAGATGGGGGTGAAGTGATGGATGTTGATGATGAAAATACAGAAAATCAGCGGCAACTGCATTCAACAACGAACGATTTATCTATGGCTGATTATCAAATGAATGAAAAATTGGAATCATCGACACCTGAATCTTTCACAGGAAGTGAGGATAGTGATGATAGTGAACATGGATACCGACAACAACAAGCAAAGCATATCTTAAACAAAGTTTTTCAAGCATTAAGCATTACACCAATTCTTGATACGTAAGCTTGTAAAATATCAGAAATTTCTCTTGCATCGTTTCTTTTTAGACGGAATACCGGTGCATTAAAGCGGGATGTTACAAGAGCGATTCAAGGCATTAGAAAATTAGCCGATGAACTATGTCATGTACCTAGTACCAAGACATTAAAGTCCAACGTGACATTACTCACAACAGAAGAAAATGTATCATTAATCGATGGTCTGAAGCGTCTGTTTGATTCCAGTGATTATGATGATCAAGTGCGCCTTCTCACATTATCTCCGCCTACCTGGGGTCGAGTACAAATCGAAAACTTCTTTTTTTGCAATGAATGGCAGTCGCGTCGAGCATTAGAAATACGAGGCTCATTCGGAATTCTAGCAACACCAACGAACTTTAGTGGAAACCCTAGAATTAATCCTCTTTTGGTTGACGAAATACAAGCCTTCTATCAAGAAGACATTATTAGTCGACAAACATCAAACAAGAAAGACGTGATCCATGTGAAAAAGCAACCGATTCCAGTCCGATTTATGAATTTCACAGTGGGACAAGCTTATGCTGTCTTCTTAAAAAAGCTGAAAGACAGAGATTCATTAGAATCAGTTTCCAGGGGAATGTTTTACTCTCTGAAGCCAAAGTGTGTCAAGATTTTGAAACCTCACGATGTATGCGCCTGCATTTATCACGAGAATTTCGATTTCTTAATTCAGGTAAGATTATTCTAATTGAAATACCTACAATCTCTTTATAAACTCATGACTAGGGATGGAATAAAATGGGTTTGACAAAGATCGAAAGCAAAATGTTGATATCCGATTTGGTCTGTCACTCACCAACCGAGGAATGTTTTTTCAATGAATGCAGACAATGTGAGTGAATGAACAGTATGAATCAAGTTCTTTACGGACTTTTCATGTACTATGGGTTTATCAGAGCATCACACTCACATCTATTCGTAAACATTTGAATGTCCTTTTGATTTTTTGTTCAAGGTCGAGACAATCAACCAAGTGAATATCTCAAACATTTTCTGAACAACCAAATTAGTTTATTCGATGATTGCTCATGGATGATATGGCGAAAATCTGTATCATCGACTGAGAAAAGTAATGGCGAAAATTCCAATGCTGATAAAAAAATTTTATTGCAAAAAAATATCGGATCGGTTGAAGATCTACTAGAAGAATTTGACTGTCAGTGGAAAACTTACGTTAAACATTCTTACATTACAAGTCAACAGTCTAGCTACATCAAAATGATCAAAGACCAAGCCGATGAACATGAAACTATCGTCGTTCATATGGATTTTGCTGAAAACCACACTCTACTAGCTCAAAATGAAATTATGCAAGCTCATTGGACGAATCAACAAGCGACGCTTTTCACTGTCCATATCAAAACCGCGAAAGAAAAACACCATAGCTTGATAATCATAAGTGATTATCTTGCACATGATGTCGAATTCGTGCATACTGCTCAAAGCATCATCAGTGACTATGTACAAAGCATTTATCCAACAGTAAAACGATTGAATTACGTCTCGGACGGTGCTCCGCAACACTTCAAAAATAACAAAAGCATATTGAATTTAACATGCCATCAAGTAGATTTTGGTATTCCTGCATCGTGGTCTTTTAGTGCCACTGCACATGGAAAGGGTGCTGTAGATGGCATTGGTGCCGCCGTCAAGTATCGGGCAACAAGAAGGGTTTTGAGTGGAACCACTTCTGATGCTATATTAACACCTGAAGATCTATATAAATTTACTCAGAGTGATAGCTCGATGAATGTTTTCTACATGAACCAAAAGCGAATCAAAACCATTGCGAGAAATATCAGTTACTCAACCGATGGAACCGTGATAAACCAGAAGGTGAATATTTCTCTCTGACGCTAACATGACACACATTACTTTAATTGCTATTATATTTTAGGGTGGATTAATCAAATTCGAAGCCAGCACCAATTCGATCCTGTGGGGATAAAAAAAAGTCAGATGTAGACTCACCTCAACATCACTAATTACACAAATCGATTCCTTAATTGATTGAAACCATGGTGGCTATGATCGTTCTTAGTCCAAGTATTTCGATCTCTCTGCTGATCCCGCTTCTTCAACGATGGATCAATACTTAGTACAGAATAACTTTCGTGGTGAAAAGATTACTTGAAAAACTTAAAAAATCTATTCAATAAAAGAATTTTCCTTGGATAAAAGAACAACTTAATGAAGTATCTATATTTATCAACAATTGTCATGCGGAGTTAAACTTGAAATTTTCATCATCCACGGAGCAGTCATTCAATTCCGCAATGTTGAACATTCCGGAACCAGTTCCGTCGATTCCAGAATTAGGTCAAATATGAACACCGTCCGATTCCGGAATCAGCTCAATACGGAATCGGTGGGAATTAGACGGAATTACCAGGAATTCCATGTGATTCCGTTCAATTCCTGTTCGACCTAATTCCCGGAATTCCGCACCGGAATTGCATTCGTCACCGAGCTATCAGATGTATCAAGTGTCCATTGATCACTCAATTCCGGAATCGCTGGGAATTAGACGCAATTCCTAGGAATTCCGTGTAATTCCGTGTAATTCCGTTCAATTCCTGTTCGACCTAATTCCCGGAATTCCGTACCGGAATTGCATTCGTCACCAAGCTATCAGATGTATCAAGTGTCCATTGATCACTCAATTCCGGAATCTCAAGGAATTCCGGAATTACAACTTGTATCACTCTTCTAGCTTGTCCTATCCATTTCGTGACGAACGGATTCCGGTCTGGAATTCCGAAATTAGGTCAATACGGAATCGGTGGGAATTAGACGGAATTCCGTGTAATTCCGTTCAATTCCGATGAATTCCTGTTTGACTTAATTCCCGGAATTCCGTACCGGAATTGCATGGTGTGGGTGTTGCCATAAGTGTAGGTGTCTGTGTGGGTGTTAGCATAAGTGTTGGTGTTAGTGTGGGTGTTGCGATAAGTGTGGGTGTGGATGTTGGTGTAAGTGCGCTGAATTCCGGAACCGTTGGGAATTAGGCGGAATTCGTTTGAATTCCGGGTAATTCCGGAATTGAATCGGAATTGATAAACGGAATTCCGGGAATTAGATGGAATTGCTCGGCAGTGATTCCGGGAATTCCGGAATTCTGTTGGAAGTGATAAATGGAATTTCGGGAATTAGATGGAATTGCTCGGCAGTGATTCCGGGAATTCTGTTGGAAGTGATAAATGGAATTTCGGGAATTAGATGGAATTGGTTCCGTGAGCGGCACTGGTTCCGGAATGTTCAACATTGCGGAATAGGATGTATTCTCCATCCACGTTGAAGATTAATGAGAAATTGACTGACGAAGGCCTAATGATCTATGCTAATTAATACTAGAAACCATCTTGGGAGTGAAGGAAGAGCATTCTTGGGTTAGATAGTTGATTTTCATTCATATCTGATCGAATACAGACCTGTTTTTTTCAAATAGATTTTTGTTAACAAAAATTTTTATTTTTCCAGGATAGAAAATATAAGTATTGGCCAAGGAAAAAATGAATTCCATGCACTGATGAATCTGAAAAGAAACCTACCTAGATCCAGTTTTTTATGCTGGTTCTGAATTTGTTATTAGTTTTTCATTTCAGCAATGCTAAATAAAAGTTACTGCCAAAATACGAGCCCGTTTTTGCTAAAATGCATCCATTTTTGGAATTTTAGCATCTGTCAGTCCAAACCTAACTCCCATAGAAAACCCTTGTACTAGTTCGATAGAGGAGCTTCCGCTCTATCGAATGGCAAGAGACGATTTCTAACAGAATTCGATTTAAGAGTTTTATTTAAGGAACATTTGTATCTTGAAAACTAAAGTTTTAGGGGTCCTGTGTAATAGTCTAATGATCAAACCACTTCGAAAATAACATTTTTCGAAGCTCTTCGATCAGTCTCGATGATTTCAAAAAAATTAGCTCAATCGATTGAGTGCTTCATTGAGAAATCGTCGTAAAACCGAAATAGACTGCATTTTTTGTGAAAAACCTTATTTTCAATGTTTCTTCGATATCTTTCTTATTTCTCAACTAATCGTTGAAAACGCAGAACAAAAAATGATCAGCGCAAAAATCTCTACGAGATGAAACCAATAAAACGGGACTTGAAAACTTTTCTGTAAATGGTGGGAGGAAGCTGGTGGAAACACCCAGAATAATCCTAAATCATTCTATTTTTGAAATTTTGCAGCAAATAAATTTGGCTTTTTGTCTTATAAAATTTCATGATCAACAGATACCATAAAGAACAATAAAAGAAAAATGAAAAAAAATGAATAATAAATATAATTAAACACGAAGGATCATTTAGTAATCTGTTCTCGAATATAACGTAAATATTCTTGATAGGACATGGTCGATTCGGATTTATCGTCCACAAGATAACGTGTAAATAAATATCGATTGGAAGAATCCTCTCTATAAAATAAATAATTAATACAAAGTAATGTAAATGAAATATTAACCTCATTATATGTATTGCAGTACCATTTGGACGACTTTGAATAAGATAAGTTAGAAAATTATGAATTTTTGATGATAATTGATTTTCTAAATCTGGTAATGAATACTAAAAAAATGAAGATAGAATTCGATTGAACAGCAGTAGTCGTTTTTTTTTATAAATATTTACTGAATCAAATGGTAAAGCGGAAAATGTTTGAACATTGAAAACACTTTGCATGAACTGATCGCTGACTGCTTTACCGATATAAATATAAATATATTCACTTGTATCAAGAATATAAGCGCCATGTGAATCAATATGTTGATAGGATAATTGAACTCGTTCAGGTACATGAAGTTCTTCGTCACCATCTTGAATTATTTGGCTCTAGATAATGATAAAAATAAACGAAAGAAAAATCTTCAATTATTCAACACCACCATTTCTCGAGAGTCACACATATCAATATGATTTCTCAAGAGGCGCTATATTTTTCCCTTAATAAATCAATTTCTTCTTACCCTTTCCTCAATAGTATGTATTGGATATAGATCCGGATAGAATATTTGCATTAAATATTGCGTGGGTAATGTTTTACATAAATCTATATAATACGCTCGATCATCGAGTTTTGTTGTACTACCAACTCGAAATGCCGTCTAAACCGTAAAAAAAGAATATAATTCAAATTTCGAGGAAAAAAAAGTTTTTTTTCCATACCGATTTAATCATGCTTAACATATATAATGGTAACAATCGTAGTGAATTAGGTACAGCAAGCGAAAATCCTCTATTGGCTGCATTGCTCGGCATTGTTGCTTTAATAACATCACACGCCACATTAGTCAAAGCTTCGCGCGCTTCGTGTAACGATGATGTCGATGCTCGATCAGCCGCTAAAATGAAATCATAGAATTCATCAATTGGATAACTAAACTTTAAATTTACCCATTTTTGCAATTAACGAAACCACCGCTTCTTGATCTGCATTTGCACATATATCATTTAGATTAGCACTAACAGGCAGTGAAAGTGTATGTACTCGAATTCGTCTTTCACCTAATTGAACAATTTTCCTATGAAATCATTTTTATTTTGATCATCTTACCTTTGCTTGATGTATAAAGAAGTGCTATTTGAAAAGTAACTGATGTGTATTGTGCTAACGAATCTTCAATAGCCACTTGCATACCATAAGCTGCATCCGGATTGATATTTGGTAAAACAAGTAAATCAACGGATCGAACAAACCCATTACCATGAAACGTTTGAATTGCAAGAGCTAAAATTTTACGAAAATAAAAAATTATTTAACAAAAAACATTTATTAACCACCTGGTGCTGATCGTAAACGCATGACAGCTTCGAATCCAATTTTTCTTTGTAAATACCGTCTTAAATCATTTTCAAAACGTTCAACTTCATACGGCGTTTGAACAGAATGATAACTTGGATAGTATTTAACTTCGCCGCCTGAATATTTCGAGACACCACCTAGAAAATTATTTATAAAAATTACGAAAAAACAAAAGCAAACCAATCGAACATACTCAATGTTGCTAAATCAATATAATGACTATTTAAAAGAAATAGATCACAAGCGATCTGTTGTGATGCGTAGTCAAGTGAAAGTTTCTTATAAAAATCTGACGTTGGTCCAATCGATTTCGGTTCTTTAGCTATTTGTTCACATAAAGCACCGGGATTAACGTTTGGTATTCGTGTTTGCACAACTGTTATGCGACCACCTGTCTCATGAAGTAATTTTCCGGCTATGAGAAGAGCAGTGCCTAATGCTGAATCAGTTTCATGATTATTTTGATAAACTTTAGGTAATTCATTCAGAAATGCTTCAACAATCGGTCGACATTCACTCAATATTACCATTAAACCATCGGGTACAGGAAGAATTTCATCTAATTTATGTTCGACATTTTCTAAATCGGGTGCGACCATAATACGAAATGTACCATTTTGACTATCGGATAAATCATAGAAATGTATCCGACTATCATAAGCAAGAAAACCGATTTTTGTACGGGCATCACCTGGTAAATTACTTAAATTTTCAAATAAAACATCACAAAATGATTGAAGATAGCCTGGAAAATAAATAAATAGAAAAATAGATTTATAAACAAGAGGCACTTGGCCTATTCTACCTGTTTGAATAGCATTATGTGATACATCAAGTAAAAATAAATACATAGCGGGTTGTGGTGGTCGCGCCTAGAATTTATATTTCATGAAAAGAAAAAGAAAACAAAATACCTTCGATCTTACCATATAATCTGATGTAGCTGCATATTCAACAGTACCAAAACGAACTTCTGGTCTTCTACTTGGATCACCATAGGTTTTTGTCGCCGGATCGTATAGAAATTCTTGTGGTACTATGAAAACAAAATTTAGAATTTAGAATAGAAAGAAATCAGAGTTGAAATATTTACGCTCATTATTACGAAAACAAATACTGCAACGCCATCGAGTATTGTCAAGAAGTGTAACAAATGGATTAATATAGCTTTTACATGCATCACATCGAACTATTTTTGTACCTTGAATGACACTTAAACTCTTTAGAAGAAAAAAACAGACAGAGATGAGATTAAAATGAAAAAGGGATTGATTTACTTCAAGATCTTTAAACGGATGAATGAGAACGCCAAGTGGAAGACGACTTTTGTTGAGTAAATCTTTTGTTTGTGGAATCACATTCAGACTGCATCTCATTACTCTAAAGAAAAATAAAAGAAACTTTTCATTAATAAAAATTCTTTATAAATATATTTCATACTCAGGACTACAACTCATTTGTTGCGTTTCTTCATTTACTAATGGTGTCATTGGTGGTTCTTCAACAAATGGACTAATAACACTTTTTATTTTGAGCAAATCAACTAAATTATTATTATTATTGTTGTTGTTCTATAATTAAAAATCATACAATAATCTAATCGATCAGAACAAAAATCTGCATCTACTTACAGACATAGGACCATTCATTTGTTGATTATTAGCACCATTTGTATTACCACCCATGGGATAAGGCATCGGTGGTGGTTGTCCCGGAAATGTTGATGGTACATACGGAGTAGTTCCAGTGTTATTGTATTGCGGATACGGATAGTTAGATGAAGGTGGCGGAGCATTTTGGTTAGGTATTTGAGGATAGGTAGGTGGTGGCATAGGCTGAGTTTGTTGTACTTGAGGACGATAAGCAGATGCTGGTGAAGGATACATTGGACGAATGGTTGGTTGAGCAGGTGGACTTTGTACTGTTGTTGGTAGTAGAGGTTGATGATTCTGAATGGAAAGACAGATAATATCGAATATTTTATTATATTTATCTTACTGCAAGAGGATTGTAAACATTTGTTGTTGGTGGAGTTGTACTTGGTTTTGTATTATAGATATTTATTGATGGTAATGGTGGAGTTGAATTTGAGTTGGGTTGATTGATTAGATTTGATTGAAATTGTTGTGTTGGAGGTAATATTAGAGGATTTGTTGGCTGATTGAATTGAGGTGGAAATATCGGGCGGGGTAGACCATTTGTTGCTGAATGAGGCATTGGAGGAAATATCTAAATTGAAGAAGAAAAAAGAAAAGATATTCCTTTTTTTAAAGGATATTATTGAAATACTGGATTATTCATTTTATCGGGATATTGTGGACGTATTGCTGCCATTTATAGACTTCCTGAATAATCTAATATCTAAATACGAAAACCAAAAATGAAACTGTTACACGGACAAGTTTTTTAGTTCATCCATTGTTGACGTTGTTGCTAATTTCGTATGCATCGATAAGCTACAGATATAACCAATGGTAATCAGGTCCATCACTAGCGACATCTACTCAATGTGTGTAGTCATATCATAGACTGCACCATGTGACTAGTTCTGTCTCTTGTATCAATCGTACCTAAATACAGACAACAAAATCATTTATTTTCTCTCGATCTAAAAGATCTTCATGGGAACAAATAATGTTGAAATTCTTCTACTGGGCGTAGCACAAGATGGTGGCATGGCTCAAATACGTTGTCAATGTAAAAATTGTAGTGCAGTTCATAATGGTAGACTATCGCAACAATATGCAGTTAGTTTAGCTATTATTGATCGAACTACAAATCAAGTTTGGCTTATTGACTGTTCACCGGATTTTCGAGCTCAATATGACTTATTACAAAATCATTTTGGATTTAATAATACGTTTAAAATCGAAGGAATATTTTTAACTCATTTACATATGGGGTTAGAAAGTAAAATAGAACACAAAAAGTATTTTCTATGTCAATGTCTATTTCTAGACATTATGTTGGTTTATATCAATTCGGACGTGAAACATTAGATACTAAAGGTTTAAAAGTAAATGAGATTTAACGAAAAACAAAAAGAAAGATTTTTTTTTTGAATCTATGATAGATTTATGGTACTGAAAGTGTTTGTCAATTTTTTCGAAATAATCAACCATGGTCAACATACATTGAAATTGGAAATTTTCAATTGAATCCTATTTTACCTCAAGATGAAATTCAACTTTCAGCAAATCTTTTCATTAAATCTCAAATTGTTCCACATCGAGCAGAATTTAGTAATACTGTTGCGTATTTCATTCGTGGACCATCGCGACATATTTTCTATTGTCCCGATGTTGATAGCTGGGAACGAGGCTGGTCAAATGACAATGGTTTATTACCGATTGATATTGTTCAAAATGTGGATCAAGCATTTCTTGATGCAACGTTCTTCAGTGCCGATGAATTACCAAACCGTAACATCGACGAAATCCCACATCCAACTGTTTTACAGACATTAGAAAAATTTAAAGGATTAGAACATAAAATTACTTTAATCCATTTAAATCATTCGAATCCATTATACGATAAACAAAGTAAACAGCGAGAACAATGTAATCAAGTTGGTATTAATATTGGAATTCAAGGACGTGTTTATGAAATATAATCACAATAATACATTTGACGTTATGTCGATCTTTGTTTTATTCACAACAATATTTTTTAAATAATTATATTCGTATGTAAATAAATCTGCACGATGTGGCTGAGAAACAAAAAACAAAAAGTCAGAGGAGCAGCAAACACACGGTGCTTCCCAATTTTTTTCTTTTTTTTTTGTTCTCTAACGTGCTTATCGATGATTTGATTGTAACTACATGAGAAAAAGATACTAACGTAATGTAATACAATATAAAATAAATACAAGCAACTAATCTTTCGCACATATTGTTGAGGTAAAACAGTTGAGGTGCGGGTGTATACGCGAATAATCCATTGATCCACGCCCTAATGCAAGTACGGCAGTACCTGCACTAGGGGATCTCTGTTAAAAGGAAGTGAATGAAATCTTTGTCTGTTAAATGCAAATCATTTTCTAATATTTTTCATTTTTCAAACCTTTCAGATAATTCATGGGGTTTCCACTTATTTCGATATATGGATCAAAGAATATCTTAGCACAACATGTTGCCACTTTCTCGCTAAATATTTTATAATCTCAAATGAATTTGTCAATAGTTTATCATAACGAAGGACAACACAATTGACCTCATGTTATATTCTATCACTTGTAGACCCCATGATGATAGCAATCGATTACATTCAATGACAAAAATTTTGACACATAGTTCAACGTTTCTCTGACCGTTACTCACTTCATTCATTGAAGTGTATAACATATAATAAATCGTTTTAAATTTATATCTGATGATCAACATTTTATTAGAAACTATTCAAATTGTGCATAGATATAAATCTATTGACAATAAACATGCAATCAGATCAAATCATATTTGTTGAGATTTTCAATTCTCACACGTTTTGTGTCGCTTTCTTTTTCTTCAAAATGGATTACAATATTGAACAAGTAGTCGTTTCTCTTTAATCATCCATCGACACATTCATTGTTGATTATTCAAATTAGTCGTATGTCATTCTTTTTCTTTTGCTCGGATAGACATCGATACTCAAATGTTGACGCCGTGAAGTGGAAATAATTCAATTCTATGTTATACAATCACGACTTTGAACTCAATCGGCATTTGTTTAATGAGTAATATTTACCAACTGTCCTCTTGATTGACTTGAAACGATAGAAAATAATCTATTCACATGATTGTGTGTGTCAATTTATCTCTCTCGCTCGTTAAGACATAATAAAAATGCATAAGCACAGACAACGTTCAATTAATCGGAAATAATATTACAACGATGATGGTAACATGTACGTAACCTTCGAGTGTATTCGCGTTTGGAACAGATGTGAGTCGAGTCGACAACTGATCAAATAAACAATATTTTTAGCTAATTACAACTAATTATTTCTTGTCAGTAAATTTCAGTAGTGGGGTGCATCGCACCCGACGGACATATAGACGACGACGACGACGAAAGAAGATTAGAGTTCCGGTTAAGCTTGACTAGCCTCGAGGCTATGATCAATGTTTAAATAATGACAATTTAATCTCACTCACACTTCTCGTTTTCTTTTTCCTTTCAATGATCTACTCTGAAGACAATATTTGTTGCTCTCTAGAACATTCCGTTATACGAGCTTTCTCTCCTATCTAATTGATCATCCTGTAAAACATTTTTTCTATGGTTTCTTCTCTTTTCCCATGTGTACATTAATTCGGAAGTCAGTTCCCCCCTATACATTCATTTTCTTTTTAGACGAGACACGTACAATTCAATTGTAGATTCATAATACACTATTAACAACATTTGATTGTGCAGCTGTTGGTATGCTCATTTAATCAGATCTCAGTTGGAGGTTTCTCGAAATAATAGAAAGAAGAAAAAAAAGTGCGGGCAGATGTGTATGAGATCAGTCCCTTTCTTACTCGATGCCTATTGGGAAGAAAGAATGTTCTAAAGTGAATCTAATCGGAAGGCAATGTCGATGCAAGTGAATGAATGATCAGTCTGATGAGATAATGGTGCGTGCCAATTTTGCCGCTAAGAAGAAAAAAAACAAAAGATGAAACGTGTACATATCGTTGTCAAACAATTTCGAACTGTACAATTAGAAACGGCATGGTGTCTCTCTTCCCATGACATAGATACATTGAAATTCTGTTCGACCATAAAGCGGAAAAATAAATAGTTTACAACTCACGAAATTTGTCATTAGAACAAACTAACGCAGCATGATAATAGCAACAGAAGAAAACTCATTTCTACTGACCTCACAAGCAAAAGAATGTTATGCGTTATATATTTATCTTCAATAATCGATTAGTTTACCAAAGAAAAACATATTCTTTGTGCAATAATACTTTTCCTTCGCTTTCTTTGTCTATATGTATATATATGTATCATTGTTAAACAGACTCTATGTCAAGATAATCGATAGAGCGGAATTTATGTCTATCGTTCAATGCTCATCCGTCATTTTCAGGGATGCACATATACAATCGGATGAGTATAGACATACAGACACTCTCCTATTTCATCAACTGATGAGAGAGAAGTAACGAAAACATATTAAATGCCAAACAAATGCCTTGACCCTTTTCTTTCAATAGCTGACGTAATTCTTCTTATAAATATTTATATTATTATAAAGTAATTCTTGTTGAAATTATCACCATATATATAAAGCTTTATAGTATTACAAGTCGAACAGAGTGAATACAAGACAAAAAAAGCGGGATTGAGCTTGACTATTTACATAAGCAAAATAAATAAAAATTAGTTTTAGTTTTAAACGTAAGTTCCGCGTTTAGTTAAAATGTCTTGTTTGGCATCGGTTAATAACGATAGGTCGTTTTGTATTGAATGAAACAGTTTATTAGTTAGATTATCCGACGGATGTATTGGTTTGTTCATAAATGAATATTGATATGGTAAATCAGTTAATATAACTCCACGTTTCGGAGAAAAAAGAAACATATCCTAAGAAAACAAAATTGATATGAGATTAAAAATAATCTATCACTCGAAACTTACTAAATGGCAACTGGCTGCTGTTTCAAGTGTAATATTATCTGATTTATCTGATCCGTAAAGTGAATCTGCCGATGAACTTTGTTCTGATGATGATGATATTTGAATAATTTTCTGTTGTGGATTATTGTCATCAATAATATTTTTCGATTTTCGATCTTTTCTTCGACAGCATATACATAGAATTAATGCTACTAAAATAAACAATGCTCCTAATACACTACCGACACCAATGAGAATATATTCAGGTCGAATTATTAAATTTCGACTTAAACTATGATATAAACGTAAGGTTATGATTGATGATAATTCAGGTTTTCCATGATCATAAGCTTCGACATCAACTGTTAGCTCATCGTTTAATAAATTTTGCCAACAACTATTATCTGTTTCATTTGTACAATTAATAATTAATTTATTATCAACTAAATCGATCCATGTCGGCCATGGATAACCTGTTTTTCGATAGCCGACTTTTCCATTTTGATTTTCATCTTCATCTTTGGCATTTAATGTTAATATCATAAATTGAGATTCGATATTAATATTTAATAATGATGAATTCCATTGGGGTCGAAAATCATTAACATCAGTAACAACGATACGAAACGATCGTTCGTTAGTTCCACTACGTATTAGAACGTCGTATGATGAACGAATTTCTCTATCGTAACTTCGATCGGTTAATAATGTTAGAGAGTTTTCGGATAATTTTTGAATAAAAAAACCTCGATTATTACGTTCCGGTAAGACTTGAAGATCTTCATCCGATGTTACATAGGCAATAAATGTTGCATTCGGTAGATTTTCTTCAATGAAAACTTCCGAAGAATTTTTCGATATTCGATTGGAACCGAATGTGATTGAAATAATCGATTGTGGTATCATATTGATGTAGACAGTTGTTAGAGCTGGTATTGCATTATTCGAACCATCGGAAGCGCCAATAATTAGTTTGAAAATTTTTTTCGAATCAAAATGACTTAAATTTGCTAATAAACGTAATTCACCCGTATGAGAATTAATTTGAAATAGATCATTTTTATTATTAGCTCCATCGATCGTCAATAGAGAATAGTAAATACGTGCATTATGATCTAGATCTGGATCGTAGGCCGTTAGTTTAATTAAAGTCGTACCCGGAAGTGTCGAGTGAGAAATATTGACTGGATAAACCGATTGAGAAAAGCGTGCTGTATGATCGTTAACGTCAAGAACGGTTAAAATTAATTTTGACGATACCGTATGAGAATAATCATTAGCTGTTACAGTAAATATATATTCATGTTGAAGTTCCCGATCGAGAGTTTGATTCACAATGAGATACAATTCTGAATTGGAATCATATTGCAAATAAAATGGTTGATTTTGCGTTTGATTCTGTTGATGAACAAGATTTATTGATGATATTACGATGTGACCATTGAGAATATAAGTCAATTCATATAATTGTACGCCATTATCCCGGCAATCAATATCTTCACCTTTCGATAAGCCAATTTTTATACCAGGAATATTATTTTCAGTTAACGATATTGAATACGTATTCGAACTGAATATCGGTGAATTATCATTAATATCGTTGATGTTAAATATTAGTAGGAGAATTTCATAATTAAACATATCATAGAATTTTATTGTGATTTGACATTTTGAACAAGTATCATCATTGGGACACAGTGTATCACGATCGATACGTTTTGAAATTGATATAAGATTTGTCGATGAATTAAATGAAAGCAACGACGAACTTTCTAACAGTTGATAAGTTATTAACGATGGTGATAATGTATTTAAATCGAATATTATTGTGCCAATTGGCGTTTCTTCATTTAGAAATATCTCTTGTTGAGCAGATTCAATCAATGTTGAAGAAAAAAGAACAAGAAGAAGTAGACAGTAGAGTAGATGCATGATCATCTAGAAATGATGACGAATGAACAGACAACGCGACGAGAAGAATGAGAAAAAAAATGTTCTCTCGTTCGTCAACGCCCAATGGTCGCCGATAGAGAGAGAGAGAGACAGAGAGAGAAAGACAGTAGTGATGGATTACCTTCTTTCTTCCGACACGACTAGTACAGTGAAATTGTCGAATTTCATCAGCTTCTAAGAAAGCAACAAAGAAAAAGAATAATTATCTTGGCACAGTGGGATGTCCTAATGAGAAAATGTATATACGATCAATTAGATCAATCTGAGCCGTTCATTTCAACGATACAATAGGATATATGCATATGTTCATAAGGTAGAACACGCGATTACACCTGCATATTTTAGAAGAAAAAAAGCACTATGCATGGGAAACGCCTTACTAATATTCATAAATAATTGTATGAATTCATGCAAAAATGTGTGAATGAATAAATAGATGAACTATCATTTCATCAGGAAAAAATCTCGGCATGCATCACACCATAATATACGTGAGTGTTGTGTCTATCAAGCAAATGACTCCCAAGAGAAAACGCCACAAACACACACATATTTAGCCTCGCGACAATCTCCTCTTAGGTTAAACGTTAATCGCCAATGATAATGCATGTTTCACAACTCCTACTATTTCCATCTATTTGAATCAAACACTTGTCGTCTTTAAAATGTTAATCATCATTAGCGTCATCATTATCCAGTGCGTGCAATGAAATATGAATAGGCATTCTATTCTACTTCAGATGAAGCATAAGAACACGGTCATGACCCTGTTAACTATCTTCCTTTTTTTGTGTTGTGTTTCTATACGGTGTGAAGTAGATATGATAACATAAAGCCGTTTACCGTCGAAAAAACAAACAAATAAATTTTTTCTATCAGTTATATCTCTTGAGATGAATTTTATCTAAGATGTTTCTTTTGTCGTATCGCAGTCAGTTCTTTGTTTGACAGCGCATGCGTAACATAAATAAATTAGAAATAAATTGAGTCAAGCATTTCTTCTTCTTGGCCTATTACATCATCTTCATAACATTTATCATCACAATGAGTAAACGTGTGTCCGTAGTGTCCATATGGATTGTTCTAAAACAACTATCAGTATAGACAACGATACAATCTCTTTATCTAATGAAATCATAAATTGAAATTTTTAAATATATATCAAGAATAACAATTAGTGTATGTTGACATTACTCATTTATTATTCTTCTATTTTGCTTCACACTATCAAACAAACAATCACTCGAGAAGAAGAAGAAGAAGAAAAAATACTAGGTGTCAAATAAGGCATGAAAGATGGACGGCGGATCGGTAGGGGGGTGAACTAAGTTAGGATACGATCAATCAATGCACTTGTGTTTCAATTTACCTTCACTAATACCATTACTATAGGGGTATACAGACACTTGGATGAAACTACTTTGAATGTGTTTCGAATTACTCTCAATCATTACAATGAGCTCTTTTTTTTTATAATCCAACCATGCATATGTGTGTGTGTGTGTGTCGATTTTGAATGAATGTTTACATATGTATATTGGTATCGACTTACATCAATACATAGCAGTTCTCATCTATCGATTCAAATGATCTAAACTATAATTTTAACTGAAAGAGACTAGAAGAAGAAGAGCCGCCGTGCATATTGATGATGCATATCTCGCTTTTTTTTTGAAGCGTCGAAAGTCAATTATTATTTCGTTCCCATTTATAGACAACAACAAACGTGAATATTATTATTATCATCATCATCATCATCATCAATGATAATGAGGAATACACACCTGAAAAATAATGCCTTTCTTTTCTTTTTTTTTTTATTCACATTAATGATTATATGTCGGCTGTCAGTTAGATTTGTTAGAAGAATGACTTTCTTTTTTTCACACTTAATCGAAAAGTGAATTATTGCACTATCATTTTAAAAAATATAAATATCTCATTTAAATAAGGCGGATCCTATTGAGACAAGCAAAAAAGAAATTATAATAGATGATATCAAGTTAAATAGAGTACTGGACAAGGAATCATCTATCATATTAGCATAGATGATTTTTTTTTTTTCATGGGCTCGTATATGATAAATTTTATGGAGATTTTGCATGTCTTTAAAACGTTAATTGTCAAAACAATATAATACAGTGTGTTCATCGGTGATGAAAAAGATGATTAATTTTTCTACAGTTTGAACTTTTTCTTCAGTATCATATAGTATTTTTGACAATGCGTTCGTCTAGCGTAAAAGCGAATAAACAGAGGAGTACATGATTTTCAATAGAAAAACAAATGTTTGGTTGCATATCTTACAGAAAATGTGAAAAACAAAATTAATGAAGAATTTTTGAATCATTCGTTTATTTCTTCTCTACTGAGAGTCTCGTATCCCTTGGGATAGATTTTCAGTAGGAAAAACGAACGCTTATCTCTGCTAATTGTGTCATATTGGAAATATTCAGACTTTTATTTGAGAATATTTCACTTGTTTTAGATATTTGAATTTCTTTTTATAATCAGCTTTCTGTAATTTCGCCAGTTAAAACCATAAGAGTTTTGCAAGTTGTTCTTTACTAAAAGTTCTTTTATATCGTACTTGTTGAATTCATTTCATTTATTTTCTAAACGGTATTAGTACATTGCTGGCCGTTCCAGAAATATTCAAATTCATTCTTAATAATAGGAGAACATTATGTGAACCTTGTATTATTTTTTATTGAGTATAAGTGAGTTCTAATGATGTATGTTTTTCAAACTGATTTGGGTACGGATGTTAATATTCATTTCATTCAAAGTCCTAATCACACTCAGATCTCATACACTATGTGAAACTCTTTTCACTGCATCCGTCTCGCCAAGATTGATTTTCGATCAATAGAATGACAAGTGAGTATAATGTTTATTTTGAAAAAAAAAGTTTAAAATTTGTGAATACAAAGCGATACAAAATATGAAATTGTTAGAATAAAAATCAAGAAATAAAAAGAAAAAAGTATTAAATGAATGCGATGGATGACAATAAAACAAATCACAAAAAAGCAAGTAAGTAGAGACAATACATGGCTAAGTGACTATTGGGGTTCGGTTATGTCAAGTACAATATTTGGGATATCCTTTACATGTCGGAAATACTAAGCAACATACAATTTACCAATGCGATCGTAAATTTAAACTAATGGGGAATCCGAACTCTTCAGGATTAAAAAATGTTTAAATGTTTTTTCTAGGAATAACTGTTTATCCCGTAAAAGCTTTCACGTATTTCTTCCTATAAAGTTCTACTACGGCTTTTACTATATCAGGAGCCTTTCCTGCATCAAGAGCCATTTTTCTGAGAATTTCTTCGGTTACAAAATGTGTGAGCGATTCAGCACCTTGAGGCGATTGAATATTCAACGCCTTACAACGCCCGACCGTCTGCTTAGCAATTTCTTCGAAATTGCTTTGTGCGCTTGGAGTGAGATAAAATGTATGGATCGGAATTTTTTTATCTTTCAATTTTTTCAATTCTGTTTCATAATGTGTTGGTGCAGTAAATTTGGTGTTCTTCCAATATGCTTCGCTAAATTTCGCTCGTTTCTGACTGACCTCCGTTTGACTGTTTGCTGGAGCATCTCCAATTAGAATGACTTGAGAGATTGACTCTGGCGTGTCACTTTCTTGAACCGCATGTAACAAACCAACCTCAATTGCTTCACTTCCCCATCCACCTTCAGGGCCAATAGTGTTCATAAATGCTCTTAAACCACTACCTTTCGTGCACCAAGCAGAAACTTGCAAAATTTTACTTTCTTCAGAATTGTAGTTTCGATAGATCGCAAACTGCATCTGAAATGCGTCACTGGGTAATCCTTTCTCGCTTAAAATATCCGCAGCTCGATCAAACATTGTGCAAACAGTTTCTTTGGCAGCAGATAGTAAACTTGACATAGAACCTGTGGCATCCATAAGTAAAACTGTACGTGACGAGGCCGTTGCTATATTTGCTCCTATATTTTGATTCTTCAAAAACTCTTTTACTGCTGTAATATTACCCGTATTTAAAGCTGTCATAAAATCTTTCGAAGCGTTGTGGTCTTTTTTACGTTGCTCTATGCCAACTCCTTTGCTATTACACTTACTCTCGAAGATAGCTCTACGCGCTTCATGCAAACTATCATAAAGTGTACTGCCCAATATTTTTGGTAGTTTAGTCGCATATGAAGCACCAAGAACCCACTCTAAGTCTTTATCTAACAAAATCATTCTATATGAACCCGAGTCTCCTTGTCGCGCTCCTCTTCCCGTAATCTGATATTCTTCTGATAATTCTTCGGAGAAGAACGTTTGAAGTACATGAAGGCCTCCACTAGCTAAGAGCTGTTGATTATTGCATATAAAGTCAGTTCCTCGACCAAAGGTTCGTGTCAATAGTGTCACTTTTCCGATGGTCGCTGCATGTTTTATATAAAGCTCTCGGTCCTTTACAGATACTTTCTCTGTTATTATTTGAACGCTCTCTTTAATTGATGATAACTCAGAAGAATGATAAAATTTCATCAACTTATCTTCAGATTGAAAAAATACAAGAATCGCACGCTTTGCACGGCAAAACACATCGATTTCTCCACGAATTTTCATGAAATATTCTGATTCGTTCACTACATGAACATCATTTTTAGAATTGTAACTACGTTGGCATTCTCCAAATACTGACGGCATGTATGTACTTTTTTTCACCTCATACACCCTTCCAAGTATTTCTTTTTCTGCTGTAGCAAGTGTCTCCAAAGTACCAGTTACACCGGTGATATAGGCAAAATCATGAGGCATTTCAGCATAAGAGAAGGCTCCACAGTTGACTATAATGCCCACATTAGCCTCTAAACTGCTCGAACTAATTTTACCATTTTTATTTTCATGATAATACGCCCAAATCGTATCATAGCCACGAACGACGTTCTCTGCTATAGATTCACCTTCGACATAGACAATTCTATCATTCTGAACAAGATAAGTCGATGACTGAAAAGATTGTAAAGAAGCTATCATGTCCTTGATAGCCTCATCCAGAAGAAAAGTCCAGTTACTGAAATGAGAAGCACATGCCGCATACGCCGGCATTGCTTTGATACCATCTAAGGTTCGGATAGACCTATTCGTCCAGATTGTATCTAATAATGTTTTTATTACAGGATGCTTTAAATATACTACAGGCGTATAGATCCCACCATAGTATTCATCACTAAGAAAAACATCAACTTCATCAATCAATAATACTTTTGGACGTATGCGTTTTGTCTTTGCCATTATCTCTAAAGCACTTTTGTTTTTCAGGATCATATCACGCACCTTCTCTCTTACATCGCAATGTTCATTCAAAAGATTTTCGCATAATTTGTTAAAAGTACCATATTCGATATGTTCTTGTATTCGAAGCGCTCCAAATAGTGAAGCAAACGCCTCTTTATCCCGAGTGCTTAGAGAATCACTATAACAGGAACAATTTACATCGACTCCTATCAGAGCAAAAATGCAGGCGATAGCTGCCATTATCACTGATTTACCTTCTCCCGTGCCTACCTGTACTAAATTATTAAATAAATTTTTAGAGCTCCCACTAGTTTGATAACCTATACCGAGAATACGAAATATAGAAATAACCTGTGCAACATGCGGCTTTAACAGATAAGCTTCGCTAGACTCGATGCCGCGTATCTCATTATAGTATTCAGTATTTTGCAAAGTCCAAATGACAAAAATATACGCGAGTAACTCAGGAATTTTGTCCTTGAAGGTTTGATTCAAACTAAGGGATGTGGAGTTTGGGGCTACTTTGTCCGCAAAACATATAGTATTAGAAATCAATGTGTTTAGTGAATCTTTCTGGGTCGCTTGATCACAGGATAATAGATTGCTCAATAAAAGATCATCATACTTTTTCTTAAATGTCCGAAACCGTCTCTTCAACATATCTTTATCAAGATCGTCTCCTTCTAAACGCTCTAATATATAGTCTAGATCATCCTGCTTTTGCATTTTTGCATTACGCTTTCGCCAATCTTCTCCTTTCAAAAGAGAGTGCTCGGGTGTGGGTGTGGGTGTTGGTGCATGTATCTGAGTGTTAGATGTTAACATGCTAAATCAGTAATAAGCCGACACCCATCAGACGAGCGTTCGGTAGACAGAATACTGGGTGGTTTGACAAGAAATCTCTAACCTGGAAAAAATCTTGTACTTTTTTTCAATCAAGTCTGATTTTTTTATCACAGAATAGAAAATATTCTTGGATACTCTAACAAGATTCTTGCTTTTTATTACAAAAATTATTGCAAATCTGCTATTATTGTGAAACACCTCATGAAAGGAGTGTTGAAGTATATAGGGTAGAAATTTTGCACTCATCCCGCCCCCCACAGACCGTTATTGATAGGTAATTTTCGCATCACAGGGCATTATCGACGGGTAATTTTCCCATCGCACACAGGTACCGATTGGTAACTAGTAGGGATGCAAGGGTGACGATTAATCGTTCACCGTTCCACCGCTTGAGACCGGTGCATCGGTGGACCGGGCCCCGGTGGGACCGGTGAAACGGTGGACCGGACCCCGGTCGGAGCAGCGAAGCGGTGAACTGGGGCCCGGCTCATCGGTGAAAGCCGGAAAGACTAAAAAACACCTACGGTGAAGGCCGGTGCAGTGGTGCTGCCAGATCACACTGATAGAGATATCTCTGAATCTTAGAAAAAACCGACCTTCACCGTAGGTATTTCGTAGTCTTTCCGGCTTTCACCGTGAACCGGGCCCCGGTCCACTGTTTCACCGCTCCCATCGGGGCCCGGTCCAACGGTGACGGTGAAACGGTTTTTGATCGTCACCGTTGCATCCCTAGTACAGAACGAGCCTTCGAGGCGTCCTAATTCTTTATTCTTTTCTATTTCGTCTATCTTTATTCATAGACGTTCTTGTAATTTTATTTAACTTCGCTATTTGATCAAGTTCATTCTTCACTACGTGACCAACAAAAATATGGTAAATGTTTTGATTTCAACTGAGAAATTATCTACTTCCATTTTTTTTTCTAATGTTTTTTTTATTAAGCTCATATCTTACTATTGTTTTTTATTGTTTGGTTTAGTAATAGTAAAGCTGAGCAAGGAATCGAAAAAGAAAAAGTAACATTATGATAGAAAATTGGTAGATACATATTTGAAATATCATTATAAAGATGAAATTTGTATGCCCAAGTCGAGTATTACGGCGACCGTACACGATCGAAAGCGCTAATGTATACTATTGTTGCTTGCTGTTTCCGACCGTGTGTCTTTCACCTGGGTGATCTTCAACTTTATGAATTTTCATTCTATTATTTTCTATTTTTATTTAGTTCTATGGTGCCTTGAACTGTTCTGTATTTCATCATGCTAAAATAATTATTATAAAAATCGAGCATTACAAGCCACTGAACGTGAACAACGTAGTCCCATAACCACCCAAGCAACAGACGACATGTACAACGACAAAAGCGATGCCATCCGTTTTGTTTCGAAGGACTCTACGTGGTTTCTTTGTTGTTTTCTCTAATTGTTTGCTATTACTATTTAGATTGAAGCATTATATTCAAATAAAAGTAAAGATTGTTATTTGTACAATAGATGCATAAAATATCTTGTTTATAAAATATATCTAATTATCATAGGCTAAAGTAAAATATACTTCTGAGTAAATAAACATTACAAAAAAAAATGGTCAAAAAAATTAGAACCGTAAAAGGTTCTAGATGCACCCGTTTTTCTTTTACTGAGTAGACATTGATGAAACATTAATTCAAAACAAAACGTGTTGCTTTTCATTATCACATACATATATTCAACGAATACGGTTTGATATCTGATGATGATAATAATAATAATTCTTTGTGTCTTATTTATATAGTTAGTCAAATTCAGAGTGACAGCGAAATTAGTCCGACTCAAAATAATCTATTAAAGAAGAATTTCAATATTCATTTCATTCACTGCTCAAGAATTTAAAGTATATCGTGATATGTGCGTTTTAATAATTGATAAAAACTTTAAGAAGAATAGTGTACAATGAGACGATGATGACAGGCAAAGGAACAGCAGGTTGTGCGCTTTGGTTACAAAGACGACCGAGTCGATACGTTGCTTCTTGACCAATTTGCACCACGACGATGTGACCAATAGCTATAAATATCTTTATTGTTATTGATGATAAATGAGGTAATACCGATAGAAGCATCAAATTGAATATTAAAAAATCCCCGAGACCCAAGCTTACGGAATAACCCTTCTCGTCTAATTCATTGTTATCCGGATGCCAAGTGTCATAGATCTGAACAGAAACCGACGGATCATCGTTCGGTAGTTCTAATTGATCATCGCTCGATGATTTTTCATTAGTTTTTGAAGTATAAAGATATCCTTTTGGATGTAAACAGATAAAACTAAAAAAAAAGTAAAACTATCATATCAATAGAAAACAAAGAACTGATCAAATAAGATCCTGCCTTTTTTTAACCCTTTTCTAGTATTTTCGAAAGCATATCATTTTCTTCAACATATAAACTTTGCAAAGCATGTATATGATACATAAAAAAAAACTTTACAATGATATCAGATAATAAACAATAGGTTAAATTTAAAAAAAACACTTAGATTTCTTTCTTTAACGAAGTTTTATTCACGTAAAATAAACTTCACTATTATTTTCTAGTAATGGAGTTAACAGAATAGAAAGCTCTCGAAATCGGGCTGTTACGTAACCTTTATTGAAGTAGCTGGTAATGGAAAGTTTCATTTTATGAAGTAAATCATATGTAATAGACATTTAGCGATGTCACTGTTGACAAGGGTTACTGACAATAGTCATAGAGAGGAGTTGTCGTTTTTTTTATAGTGAATAATAGTTTTTCCGCTACGATTTGCCTTGGTAATGGTAACTATTCCATTACTAAGTACTTGGTAACAACTGGATAGCTTCTGATCCGTAATTTAACATTTTAATCTTTTCGAAATAAGATCGGGAGCTTTCTCTTATGTACTTGACATTTTGATTGTCATTGAATATCATTTACAGTTGGATAAGAACACAAAAAGTTAATAAAGATGATCTAAAATGGACTGATGTTTGTACTTAAATACTTCATATTCAATAATCAGCTAAGTTTTATAATTGACGAAGATTTGCCAAGTGTTCATTTTTTTTTGGTGATAATCGATTTGGAGGGAAAATTTTAACAATAATTGGTATTGCTGTGATAAACTTTTCATATAAAAAAATTTGCATTTCATAGTGAAGAAAAGTTTTTAGCAGACATGTAAATATCTCGTCATAACTTTCTTTCGAGATAAATAGTTTTTCAGTTCTCTTAATCGCTATTTAACTTCCAATAAACACAAAAATAATCATTCTTCCCTACTTACATATCTTTGACCGAAAATAACCAAAAAATTATAAAGCTGAATTGCGATGGTAAGTAGCGAAGTATAGCATCATGAATAACAAAAGCGTCGGACGCCATTAACAAACATAACCATCCTCGATACAAAGTCATTGAAAATATCGGATATTGCTGGAATTCCCATTTAGCCATAATAAACATAAATTGTCAAATAAAAAAATATATAGTGAATATATCGACTGGATACCAGAGAGGAAGATCATCACAGAAACGATTGAAAAGCCAAGCACCTATCATTGTGTATGCTAAAGGATGGAAGTAATATATAGTTTTGTTCTGACCAAATAGAAATAAAAATGTCGAAAAAATAATGATAATTGAAATAGATGAGTATATCGAGTTATCGTTCGTTTCAGTAAAAAAGTATTCGCATACGTTTTTGTTGACTAAAACAATAAAATGGAAGCAAGAACGTATTTATTAAATAAACTTACCTTGTACACTGTTTGACATACATCGTTTATAAAGAAGTAGATCGCGTGTTGGATCAACTACAATCGTTTGGAAGAAGAAACTAGCCGCTCTGGTATCTTTCAGGCTGCAGTATAATACAAATGTCATTAACATACTTAATGTAGTGGCTATAAACAAATGCGTTCGGCTGTTCATTGTATACACTCTTTCAATAACAAGAAAAGAGCGATATTTGAAAATTTTGTTTTTCAATCGTCATCAAATAGAAAAAAATGTTCTCCAATAGTGTGCTACTTTTTTCATTGCTTTTTTCTCAGTATGAATTTTGTCCAATTAGACGGCAATATATTAGTGGGAAAAAGTTCAATGGGTCAAGCAATGTAAAGAAGAACACAATATCATTGGAAAAGTATATAACTATCATAGTTCAATAACTGTAACAAAACATTGAACGATTGAGGCATTTATTAACCCAATCCAAATTTGGATATTGACTGAGACAAACAGAAAATGACAGTAGTACACCGTATAAAAGGGATAAAAGCGAGTCGACAAGAGAATACTGCGTAGAAAAAAATGTCGACCATATAAAAGTATCGCAACCAACAACGCCTAAAAAAATAATGTGGATTGATGAGAATATCGAAAATTTACGAAATTCTATTAGTGTATCATTTAATGCGATATGATATTTTTGATGTCTGCTTATTGTATGAGGGAAACCGCAGAACAAAAGCAATCATCGATCACAGAAAGAATCAAAATAATTATTGTTTTTATTATAGATATAGTAACTTGTTTTCCTTTTCAACTCAATCCTATTGAATTTAATTGAAATACATACTGATAATACGTATATTAGAATTCGGGCAAAGGCTAGTCTTTCACTGATATTATACTGCACTTTGCGCAGCAAAAAAAGAAATAAGCGATAAAGTATTTAGTATGTCAAGCAAGTGTATGTTGCACCTATGCTTCATACCATCCAGAATGTGATGCTGCTCTCTAAAAAATAGGTGCCAAACTGAACATTTTAAGTTTCTAAATTTTGATACTATTTTGTGAACCTTTTTAAGTCCTGAAAAGAAATCTACAACTCAAAAAGGTTATAGTCATTTAATGTAAAACTTGACAAGGTTCTAAACGTTTTTGGTTAGAAATTAAAAAGGTTCAGATAATCAAACAGAAGTCCAGAACTGTAAAAAAATCAATTTAGCAATTTTTCTAAGTGTAATATTCTTTACATATGATTTAGTATTATACTATTTTTTAAAGTTTTTTTCGTATGATAATAAAATTATTGATATCTAAGACGGATTTTCACTCTTTCCACATTTTTTTTCTTGTTTTTTGTACACATATTATTACAATGGTTGTCGATTGCCATCTCCCATTATCCAGAACGTAAACATGTATTGAATTATTCGAACAAATTGACGATGACATTCTAGAGGGTGTGGGTGTGGGTGTTAAATTCCAATGAACCCACACCCTCAAGTTGAGTTATGATAGTCAAAACCACAAAATAAGAGGGTAATTCTGTAAGCTTTAGTCACCGATCCAGTAAAAATCGATTTTCTCAGAGGGAACGATATTTTTCGAATTGAATATATAGTTTTGTTCGTTATCACTCGGCGGTTCAAATGACGTAAGAAAGCCCGAAAATTGTTTTCAAAACAAATACTTGATGATTTTGCGAGACATCAATTTGAACGTGTCTATATGGTGACCTAGTGAAGCTCCTCAAACATGAAACTTATGTTTTTACTGGTCGAAGTTACATCAGTAGATTCAGATTTTCATGCTGAATTCGATAATGATAGTTTTCTAAACATAGAACATTGTTAAACTAGGTAAATTTCGAGTTTTCTCTAAAAAGGTGAAATATTCACTTTTTCAGGTGCAGTTTGTATTTTGAAAATTTTCCAACCAAAACAGAAGCCTAGAAATATTTTAAAGGTGATATTCATGATCTACTTATCAAGCGCTATCCAACCCTATAATAACTAAAGGAACTTTTCTCCTGCTCGATTTTTGACCTTGGTACACCTTACTAAACGTCATGTTCGTTTTCTTCTCAATAAAATATTTATTCTATTCCATACATCCATAAAGATGCTTGTCATTTCATGTAGAGGCGTTGGAGCTTCACTAGATCAGGGTGTGGCCCTTTGTTAGGCCAACACACACCCATAAAGTTACAAAATTAAAAATATATTTATTCAACTTAATTAACATGTACAGAATAAACTATAGTAACGTTAGAGATATTACTAATTTTGTACCTTAAAAAAACTTCTAATGAAAATATAAAAAAAGAAAAACAATTCCGATCTCAACTAAATTCCAAACTCACCTGGCACACACACATATACGTACATATATATATAATAATTATCTATTATGCAATATAAATCTTCGCAAATAGTGGCCAAAATGTTAGCCACCAGCGTTTTTAATAGGAATCTCAAATAGGATGTATGCATACACTCTATTTTCCAGTGTGGAGTGTAACTGTACACTTTGCTTCTGAGATCAAAATGTACTCACCAAACATTATTCGTTCACACTAATAGATGTGTGAATATCTAAATAAGAATATTACAAAAGATGTCACAATAATGCATGTATAGATGCAGTTCAGATACTAATACTCATTCAATTATGCAGTAAGCTAATATAAAAAAACATTTTTCTTAGTTTTTGATGATCTATATGAGAAAAGGGCGAACAAAAAAAAAAGAAGATTTTTAGCAGTTGAAAATTGAAGCAAAAAAGCTTATTCTATAATGGATTATTTTCTGCTGTCTTTCTTTTATCGTTTTCCAAAAATTATTTCGTTGCCACTTCACTTTATTTAGATCATCAGGCTGTACACAAGTCAAGTGAAATAATATACCAAGTTATATGTGAACAAGGACGATCTATAGCGCCTCTACATATTTTTCTATTGGATGAAACATAAAATTTTGATTACGCTTAATGGAAAGTTTTTCTTTCTTTAATCATTTTATCATTAATAAGCAAGAGAATTTGTGCAAACAACATCGTGCAAAAACGAAACTCAGCGTGTATAGCACATACACATTATTTTTTTTCAGTGTGTAAATGTAAAACAGTGTAAATCCTATTTGATTAGGGTAGCATATATTTTGTTTTGCTGGGTACACTTTCATTAAAAACACTGATTCGATGATTCGCTCTGTTTTGCTTGCTGTCTATACGAATAGAAGCATTCGAGTCCTTCTTCTCAGTGTTTCCTATAGCAAGTGTACACAACAGAAGCAAAATATACAGAACATCTGCTACTTTTGATTTACACTCTGCTGTACACTTTGCTCTACATATGCACTCTGCTAATATAATACAGAGTGTACAGTACATTTTGCTTTAGATTTCTATTGGGAACACTGCTTCTTATAGTCCTTTTCTTGCTTATGACATGGCGGATAGTGATGAATATGAAATTAGCCTAATCGACAATGAAATAGATGCTCGTTTATGTGCTAAACTGACTGCTGAAGAATTCGTTTTAAATAATTCTTTGTCGGTTTTCAACCAATCGAAAGCTGAAGATTTGCTTGAAAAATGGCTGTTGCCATTCATAGTCGATGGATTTCATCAAAAATTGTCATTTTTTATACGACATCGTCCTACCAATGAAATTGTCGCTACACTAATGGCTTCTGATTTATATTTCTATTGTGAACAGCGTTCGCATGATGAACCAAGCCCATCATCTCAAGATCCAACAGCAGCTTTATTTTCAGAACTAATCCATGAATTTGTTCATGATGAGTTCAAACAAGAATTAAAAACAAATATGGTTCTATATATCGTAGCCGGAGCAACACTCGCGAAATACGCCGGCAAAAATTTAGCTACTAAGTTGCGTATTCATCTTTGTAACTATGCACGAGATATAAAAGGTTTTCAATATGCATTCATACAGACAATGAGTCCGGCGACAAGACACATCTATGTCAAGAAAATGAATGGAAAAGAAATGAAAATCGTCGATCTAGCAACTTGGCAATGGAAGAAGAAAGATGACGGTTCATCGTATCCATTCAAAAATTATCATAACGAGCCCGCTGTGAATATTCTTATCGATTTTAATGAACGAAAATAACATTCACAACGATTCGTTTTGTCTTCATGATTTAAAGTCTACAAATAAAAATGCTGTAAACAAACTAGATAGAGCAATGAAGGATGAATAAATAGATGGTTTTAATTTTTGTGGATACAAGTTCATTCACCAATTTTTGTTTTGTTTGTGTCAAATGACTAGGAATCATGAGTATGAAACTGTTCCTATTGAGATCACAGTAGATGCTCGTTCAGATGTTAAAATTATTGCAGAATAATTTTCTCCTCACAATGATCTAACGGTTTTTAATCGATCAATAACTGAGTAGCTGTCTGCGATGACATGCCTTTTCCATTTATTATTTTAGTCACGGATCTATTTTCATGAAGTATACCGTTCTGCATTTGACCATCCATGGATTACTTTATTCGTAGAAATGTGCTATCGACTTGTTTATAGTGATTATATGAAACAGTGATTAATATTGGTGCCAATTTTTTCTGAAGGAAAATAATAGAGGTAGACATAAATTATAACCAAGATCATTGATCAAGAAATTGCGGTGATTTAGAGCTCTGTTGCTTTTTGAATACAACGAAAGATCATTCCTAGTACTTCATGTTTAACCGATAGATCCGAAGAGAGCTCATTGCAGCAATCCTACTTAATTAAAATGAAAAAAAGCAAAGTCGTTCAATCATCACGAAAAAATCTTTATCGCGAAAATGGAAAATAATATAGTCAAAGAATACTACGATTTTCTCAATAGGATTATGATATTATATTAAGCGGTGGTATCGATGGACGAACTACTCATATCCACTTCAAGTTCAAAATCAATCAGGTGCTTTTTTTATGTGGTGTTGTGATACTACTTTGTTTCTGATCTTTTTACGAAGACAAGAAACTGTTAGAAACAAAAAATCGTGCTCATTGATCAAATCACATAAATGAAATATTATTGAAGCGATTACAGTGACAGAATATTCATCGTGACGAATTAACAGAAGTTCAAATAAATGATGCATTTGCTTATTTATTATTTAATGGACAGAACTCTGGTGCAGTTGGCTGATGTTGACGAGGAAGAAGTTCACTTGATGTCGACAATAATGATGCAGAAGAGTTTAAGAAAACAGAAGGGATCAAACAGTATTTGAATGATGACGGGATGTGGATATGTACTGTTGGATAAAAGACCAAGGGGGAAACGGTGGACTTGAAGTAGAAAAGTACGTCAAAAGTAGGTCAAAATACATGCTTGTAAAGGCTAACAATACTGATCAAGTAGTCCGACATAAGAACAAGTAGCTTTTCAACTTTGATGTAGCTTCAAGTAAATTTGAAGTCGAAAAATTCTTCGAATTTTACCACTGGAAGTAGCTCAAAGTTACTTCAAGTCAAAAGTTCGCCGTTTCCCCCTTGCAAAAGACGCTGATCCACACTCATATCACAACTTAATTAATATTTCTTTTGAATCTTAAATAAACCAAGGTAATTTAAATCAAGAGCAGTAACTTGAAACTCCTCAAGGTAAAGTTCGGCGAGTTGAACATGTTCTAAAATGAAAAGATATTCGAATTAATTGTCAACAAGATAAAAAAATAACTTTATAAAAATATTATTTTATTAAAAAAACTGTTTTCTCTTCTATATAAATGTGTCCTAAAAATATTATAACAGAAATTTGAAATAAATTTTTTATTGAAGTAGAGAATTCTAATTAGAAATGAGACTTATTTCCAATTGTAATCCAAATGATCAACATAGAAATGAAAACAGAAGCGTATAAAGATCAATTTATAACAAAAATGAAACTATACTTCAACCGAATGCAAGATCTTTTAATTTTCGTAGAAAAACATTAAAATAATATAAATAAAGAATTGTTTTCCGATTTTAAAATATGTCAATGAACTTGTCTTTAATCATATTCAAATAAGAAAGTCATTGGAAATATACGAATCCTTAAATTGAAGTGTAATGTAGACTTAAGCTTGATATTTATCCATTTAATGATTCTGCCAATGTTCAAATGTAATCAGATGTCACTTTTAAAAATGATGAGAATCATATCTGTTCTAAGTACATATACAAATCAGTTTATGACTTCATTTTCTAGTGTTGTATTTTGTATTCTCGGTGAAAAATGGCACGATCGGCAAAGTTTTGTCAGACAGAAATGATAATAATGCCAGAAAATGACATTCCGATTGAGATGATTTTTATTCCCCAAAACAACGTCGTGTGTTCAATTATTCGTCTTTTGTTTACGTTTATTTATAAATCGCAAATGATGAATCATCGATTTTTACGCTAGTCTTTTCTTCTTGTTCAATAGAATAGATATTGATTTTATGTGATTATGATAATGTAGTTTATTCGACGTCATTTACTCGAGAGTGTACATCAAAATGGCAAGGCATTTTTTTTGTTATTTATTCTTATTCTACAACAGAAAGGTAAGAGAGTCTAACAGATTTTTTTTCTTTTCTTTTCACTTGTGTTGTTATTATTATTTACCCATGTTTGTATTCGTACTCATATTCTCGTCTAGATAAATGGCTGAAAACCAAAAAAAATTGGTTGTCTTTGCTGGTGGCTCTGGCGGTCTTGGTCGTCATATCGTCGATGGTATATCGACACTAAGAAATACACGGTCAAAGTTTTTACTCGTCAAGATCCTTCATCGCTAGCCGATCAAACACGGGAAGGAGTCGATGTCGTCAAAGTGAACTATTCTGATCATCAATCACTCCTCGTGGAATTGCAAGGAGTGCACACGGTGATTTCCTGTTTCATTGGAATTGAAGAGTCTTCTATGGTATCTCAATTGAATTTGCTCGATGCCTGTTTAGAAGCTAAAGTCAAACGATTTGTTCCATCGGAATGAGCCGGTAAAAGCGGTTCAAATACAATAATGGAGCTCTATCGTGAACTTAAAATACCTGTTCGCAACAAGATTAAAGTCTGATATTGAATTTACAATATTTATGCCTGGTCTTTTTCATGGATTATTTTGCATCACCACAAAGAGCAAGTCCATATTTACCGCCTCTTATTATTGGTGTTGATTTCAATAAATGCGAAGCAAACATGGTCGGGACTGGTGATGAACCATTTTGTATTACTCGAGCTGAAGATGTGGGCTAATTTGTTGCTGTTGCGCTCGATTTAGATAAATGGACTGAGCAGATGGGAATGGTCGGTAGTCGAACAACATGGAATCAGTTGATTAAATTGGGTGAGAAAATTCGAGGAAAGAATTTCGGTGTCAAACGCGTAACCATCGATGAAACATTAAAACAATGCGATTTAATATCAACCGATAGAATGACATAGTTTATGCAACAAATATTCGTAGCTATGGCACAAGGTGAAATAGATTTTGAAGCAACATTAAACACTAAATTTCCTGAAATACAGCCAATGACGATCAATGCATTTTTGGCCAAATGGTGGGGTTCCAATAAAGGGCAACTTCCTTAATTGATTTTCATTTTCTTCTGTATCGAAGTGGAATTTTTCAATTACTTTTTTCAAAAAAATTCTTCATCAATCGTGAGATACGACACTGCAGCTTGTAGTCATGTATTGATAATTTTTGGAATATTCCCATAAGTTATGTGTCAGTTTTTTTTCTCTCTTAAAGTTGAAGGAAGAATTTTGTTGCTGAACTGGAACTCGTGATTGTATTTTCTACGTATCTAGTATTATGAAACCCTGTATTCATGAATAGTCAGTGAGAGTCAGTTATATGCATCTTGATATACAATAAAGTTGCAGTAAGATCAACAACATTATCATATAAAAGGTTTTGAATCGAACACAACGTCTTTAGTTATCGATTCATTGTTATGTCATTCGCTACGCATTTTGACATGATTCACCAAGCTCTGGTTTTACAAGTGTTACAAACGGCTCTTGTGTTAAAACACAAATAACAAAGATAAATCAATTATTTCTTTACCATAGTCGTAGTACTTGTAAGTAGTATAAAAATGTTTCCAGGCATTAAGTTCATCTGTATTCTTACTAAATACCGATATTGGGCCTAGTCCGTGCAAATTGCATGAAATTTTTAGCGCTGTAGCATGGCGTTTCAGACAGATATTCAATCAATAAGGATTACACATAATTTATTTAGTAACCCAAAATTTTCTGTCAGTCTTCATTGTAGCATATCAACCTAGTGACTGATGGTTTGGTTTTGAAACTGAAGATTCCTTACTTTTTATACTGAATAAAGACAGGTTTCGTAAAAGGGTAGAAAATTTCGATTTGTTGGCACCCAAATTTTCGCCTTCCGATTAGTAATCTTATGGTTTCGTATATTTTCTTTGAAAAAGTCCAGTTTCATAGAGTTGCCTAATGGTGTTGCGCATTTTATCCGAAATGATTTATAGTTCTGTAAGTTATTTGATGAATTTACAGCTATCTGAAAACATTTTGCATCTTTCCTTCGAGCGTGTATAGGTTTTGTGCACTTCGTACAAAATCATATACTGTGTATAGCTCTTCTATAACTTTTCATCAATTACGAATGCTTCAATGCCACTTTCGGTAAACAGAAAGCACATTATTAGTTTTTCTTCATGCTGCTTTACTAATTTTATATTCCACATTTTATTATACACGATGACAATACTCGATCTTTCATGAAATTTTCTGAACAAATCTCCTATCGTATAAACAAATCCATTAATAAGAAATTCTAGAAAACATTTGAATTTCATATAAAATCTAATTCTTTTTCTTTCTCTGTTGACTAAAATTATTACATCACGTAGTTAACAGTTGCCGTAGGAGCGATCCGATTTTTTGATTCTATTAAATTTTTCTCTTTCATTATTTTCTTAAACTCAGTCTGACGTCAAATTTCAAAAGAAAAAAGAATATGTAAGTTGATTTTACTTCTCGGCGATTATATGCATCAACACTATAACTCATTTTCATCGGAGAATCCAAGAATACTAATTTAATTCTTTCTTATGTTAGTTATTCCAATGGTTGTGAAGTATGTAATGAGTTGCCTACTACGAGTTCGAGTATAAAAGGAGAGCTGAATAATTTTTATGAATTCGAAAATAAATATAACTAAAACAAAGCGTATCCTCAAGAAAATACAGAAAATTAAAACAAAAATTTTGAATGAAGCGGTAGCCATGTCATTGTAGCAAAAAGGGATTGTCAGTGTGGGTGATAGGATTGTTCCAACACACCGACACCGACACGCACATCATCAAGCATTCGAATGGTGAGTTCTCTTGTCCTCCGCTGTTGGCAGTGTGAAATAGGAGAACGACGAGTCTATTTTCTCTCCTTTCTTTCTGAAGAGTATTTATGCCCTAAAAGCTCCGTTTTGAGTCAGTATTGCACAACTGATCGTAATCTTTCATTGTCTGCTGCAATCACATATCTGCCCTGACTCAGCTAGCCACAACTATATTGTGTGTTCAAATGGTAAGTTCCCTCCTCTCCAGTTTAGGGACGCACCAGTACCAGTATACTGGCCCACCAGTATACTGGTCTTCTTTTTCAGAGATAATTATTGTTTAATGAAGTAATTTCCTCTACCATCATTTTTTTGTGTATATTTGAGTAAAAAATTTTAGTTTTTCAAACGTCGTGTAACAGTTATATTGATTCATGGGACGAAAAAAATGAATTAAATTTATAAAATTTTTACAGCAGCAGAAACAATTTTTAATAAATTGTTTTATTTTAAATAAATAAGTTTAGTATCATTACAATTATTACGACGTTTCGATAAATTCATTATCATCTTCATAGTACGACTATTTACACAACACATCACTCCAATATAAGATACAATAAAATGAAAACAAAACAATTAACACCAAGAAAACGTTAGACTATTAACATTACATGAAGAAACAAAACAGATCAAGAGCACAAAAATCTGTTTCCACTCATTTGATGTTGATCGAGTAAGTGATTCATTTCTCCATAGTGAAGCTGTCCATATAGTTCTATATTATTTATTTACATTAATTTTAATGTTAACTTTTAATTTTAATTTTAAAGAGACATATGATATTATATATAATGATAGGAATATAACATAAATTGATTGTAGATTGAAAGTTTAATTAAGTATATTAATAAGACATTGATATTGATAATGATATATATAAACATAATTAGTTTGTATAGAGTTATGCATGACTTCTTATCATTGTTATGCAACACCCTCCGGGAACACAATTAACGGTACCGATCTAGTTGTTTGATTGAGAGTAGGTTGTTTATGAGCAATAGCAAGCGATTCTTTGATTAGTAGTTTGTATGGATGTTGTTCTCTGTCTAATACAGACCACGTGTCCCAATTTATTTGGTGTTTATTATGTGTGATATGACGTTGTATAGCTGAGTTTAGTTTAACTGGTGCATCCAGTTGTTCTTCATCAAAGCTTTCATTCTCAGCATATGATATTAAATCATTATTGTTTTTAGCAATCCTAGACGACCTTCTGCTAGGTTCGATTTCTTGTACTTGTGTTTGTGTTATCTTTAACGGTGCGCCATGTTCTTTTAGGCGTCTGCTAGCTTGCCTCACAGTCTTTCCAATATATGTAGCTGAACAAGTATTACAATTGATTTGATATACAATATTAGATTGCATTACTTGTGGTACTTCGTCTTTGTTTCTAAAGAACTGATGAACAGCTGGTGATGGTTTAGAAACTGTTATTATTTGAACTGTGGGCTTTATTTTATTAGCTAGTTTTTTAATTTCTTTACTAAATTGTTGTGTTGATTTTCCGACGTATGGGACCTTCACAATTATTCTTTCTGTGTTATTATCTTTATTATTATTATCGTCTGCCTTTTGTTGAGTTGAATTATTCCTTGCATTCACTTTCTGTTTTTCGATAAATCTATTCAACGTATGTCTTATTTGACATTCAACAAAATTTGTTGGATAACCATTTAGTTTAGTTATATATCGTATAAAGTCAAATTCCTTATGCATAATTGTATATGTTGAAGAAATATATATGGCGCGATATATCATGGAGCTGACTGCAGAGACTTTATAGCTTCTAGGTACAGCTGATGACCATTTAGTCAATAATCCAGTATATGATGGTTTTCTATATACGCATGTTTCATAATGCTTAGATTTACGACGTACGAGTACATCTAAAAATGGAAGTTCATCATTTTGTTCTTCAACTGATGTGAACTGTATGTCTTTGTGATGGCTATTAAGTATATTTCTTATATTATCGACATTAGCGTTTTTGTCAACAATGACGAAAGTATCGTCAACGTACCGTTTATACCATAGTACGCCAGCTTTTTTAAGTTTTTTCATTAATTTATTTTCTAGGTTTATCATGAATATGTCCGCCATAACTGGTGCTAGGGGAGAACCCATAGCTACTCCGTTGTGTTGCCGATAATATTTATTGTCAAACGAAAAGTGTGTGTCTGAAGTAGCTGTATCTATTAATTCTTTCATATCACTTCTATTGACACATTTAGTACACCAGTCAGCTTTTTTCTTCTTTTTTATTTGAGGACAATTATGTTTACGTCCATACATTTTATCAAGTATTATATCTATAGTGTATGATAGTGGAACCTTGGTAAATAAGCTGGTTACATCAAATGAGATCATTTTGTGTTCTGTCATATTTGGTTTTAGTGTTTTTATAGATTCAATGAAATCGAAAGTATCTTTAAGTCTGTGTTTGCTATTTCTATATGATTGTAATTTATTAGCAATTAGTTTACCAAGCTTATAGTTATAGCTTCCTATTGCTGACATGACTGGTCTCAATGGTAGCCCGGTTTTATGTGTTTTAGCTAGACCATACATTCTAGCACATTGAGAACCACGAGGAACCGCAAAATTATATTCCTTTTCAGTTATACGGCCTCGTTTTTTCATTTTTCTTAGTAGTGTTATCAATCGATTTTCTTTTTCTATTGTTGGATCATGATCTAGTTTTTCAAAGGTTGTTGTATCATTCAATATTTCATGCATTTTGTTAACGTAATCTTTACGATCTAGTATGACAACACCTTTACCTTTATCCGGCCTTGTTATATGTATAGATTTATCTTTTGCAAGTTCTCTCAGCACCTTTAATGATTCTTTATGAGACTTATTTATTGTTTTAAGTTCTTTCTTTGCATTTTGTTTAAATCGATGAGATATTGATCTTAGTTTAGCAGCATATTGCAATTGCTCTGGTGTCAGATTATATGTGATATTCTCATCTAATTCTTTGTCCTCCCAATCATATTTATCTGTACAACGACCGAGTAATGTAACAAACAAGGTTTCAATACTACTAACTAGTTCTTTTTCGTTTAATGATGAACTTTGATATACAAAATCAAGACCGTTTATTAATACTGAACGTTCTTTTTCTGTTAATATTCTATGTGAATAGTTCTTTATTGGATCGAGAGTTGATAATTTAGAATCTTGTTGTTTAGATGCATGTTCTATTCTTAAAGATTCAAGCTTTTTGTTATGTGTATAGATCCATTTTTTAGATTTATCAACAATTAGATTTTCAAACATATTTTGCAGTTGAGTAAAATGATCAATACTTATATTATTATGAATTTCATTTTGCAAGCTTTTTGATAGTCGATATGCTTTTGTTAATTGTCTCTTTTTATATTTAATTTCATCTGTTAATATTTGTTGATAGCATCGATGAATAGCCTTTTTATACACTGCATGTACATCAGATATTCGGAAACGTACAAATTTTGGTATTATATTTTCTTGTTTACATGTTCTTAGAAATAGAAGATCATGTTTTATTTTATTTAATCCTATTACTGATTTCCCCCAATACCATACATATTTGCTAGTTATATGCCCATATTGCTGCCAAATAAAATCTGAATAATTATATTGATTCATGGGACGAAAAAAATGAATTAAATTTATAAAATTTTTACAGCAGCAGAAACAATTTTTAATAAATTATTTTATTTTAAATAAATAAGTTTAGTATCATTACAATTATTACGACGTTTCGATAAATTCATTATCATCTTCATAGGGTGTGGGTGTGGGTGTATTAAATAAAAACAGGTTGGCCTATCTATTTTGAAAGAATAGATAAAAGTCAATCTGCTATTCTCAACTCTTGCTTTTCAGCAATCGATTGTATTGTCAAAGTTAAATGAATGTGCTAAAACAACAAATTATTGTGCTTGATATAAAAAATGATTAAAGAAATGCAGAGTTTAATTTGCCGACGCGTTTCGTGTTATTTATTGAAATATTAAACACTCATCAGGGCTCTGCATTACATTACATTTCTAACACACAAAAAACAAAAAAATTCTTTCAAAGATATAAAAAAAACAAAAAACAAAAAACAAAAAACAAAAAACAGACAAATAAAACAAAATCCATGTGCTAGTTCGAAAAAAGATGCACAAGATTTCGGCTGTCATCTAAATCAAATCGACTGTTATATGAGTTGTGATCTGTGACCACGTTCATAATAAAATTTGTTGTATGAGTTGCGATCTGTGACCACGTTCATAATAAAATTTGTTGTATGAGTTGCGATCTGTGACCACGTTCATATAATATTTGTTGTATGAGTTGTGATCTCCGACCACGTTCAGAAAAAAAAAATGTTTTTCTTGTTAATTTTATATTGTTAATTTTATATGTTAACTTTTAAATAAGATTATAATTTCATTCCTAAAAAGAAATATGTTTTAAATTTAAAGTAATTGAAGTTGCCCTCTATTTCATTTTCATTAGAGCAATTTTTATTTAAATATAAATATCATAGAATTAGTTATTTCTATTTCTTTAAATTCAAATTTTATACAATTTTTATACAACTAAATATTATAAATTAAACATCGTAAATTAAATTTCTTCTTTCATATAAATTTTAATTTTAATGTTTCCAAATTCATCATTTGTCATTTACATTCACGTAAATTTTCATTTTCATTTTTAATTTAATTTTTCTACAATCAGCTATTCCAATGTTATTTCTTAAACAAAATTTTTTTATATAAATAAAATAAAATAAGATTGAATGTCTATTATTTATTGCGTATTAGCTGTTGTTGTAGGTTTTTAACATTACGAGTCCCTATGACTGGTTTTATTTCATTTATTGGCGATTCAGTAAAATATTTGTTCCAAAGGGTATGAAATTTTACCGGGAACATTCTCATGTTTAAACAATATGTAAAATGAACAAACATTTTTTTATTATAATTGATTGTAATTTTTGCTTTTTTATCCGCATATATTATTTTCTCTCGTAATGTACTATAATTTTTATTCGATATTGGCTGATTTATATCATATTTTTGAATTACCCGGTTGAATTGCTTTTCTAAAAATTCACCAGGATATTTATTTAATAACAAAGCCATTCTTAATTTTTCACGTTCATATAAATATGCTTCAAATGTTGAACAATATTTAATAGCACGAATTAACATCTCAAATGGAATATTTTTCTTCATATGGATAGGATGAATACTATTAAAAGGTAAATAGTACGGCTCATAAGATGGTTTGTGGTATACTTCTGTAAATAGTACACCATTTTTATTTTCTATTTTTAAATCAAGAAAATTTGTTGTATAACCAACTTGAGTTTTTAATTTAATGTTAACGTCGAATTTATTCCATCGATCGATTTGTTTCGATAAATGTTGAGTAGGCCAGTTGATGGTAATAAATATATCATCGATGTATCGTATATAGAGTCCGTTGCTATTGCTAATTTGTTTAACAATGTCTCGTTCAAAAAAGAACATATAGCAGTTAGCAATTGTTAATGTTAACGGCGAACCCATAGCACCACCTCGTACTTGATGATAATATTTACCATTGTAAGAAAAATAATTATTTTGTATCACGAATCTACATAGACGAATAATGGTTTCAATTTTTAACCCATCAATTTGTTTAATGTTTAAGTAATCTAACATTTTTTTAATTGATAAAAAGCCTTCTGTTTGGGGTATCATTGTGTACAGATCCATCACATCCATTGTGCATAGTAAAGTTTCTTGACGTATATTACGTTTTGACCATTCCTGTAACAGTTTGATAACTTCAGTTCCAGAAGTCACAGTTGTGTTTGATGCCATTCCATCAAATAAAGGTCTGAGTAATCCGTCGAGAAATTTCGATATTTTTATAGTTGGATGTTTGAGTCCAGAGACAATTGGTCGAAGTGGAGTGCCAGGTTTATGGGCTTTTGGTAAATAATATAAATGGGCTAATTTCACTTCATTTGGTTTAACGCTTAATTGTTCATATTGTCTCTGTGTAATCCAATGTTTCAATCTTAAATTTAATAAATATTTATTTGTACGTTCTATTAAATTTGGTAATGGATCATTTTGGTGTAAACATTCATATGCTTCAGTTTTTTCCATGTATTCATCTGATTTTTTGTGATAATCTTGCAATTTACCTAAATGAAAAACTTTAGATTTATCTGTTTTTTGCAAAACTATACTAGCAGAACGAAGCTTTTGTTTTAATCGTTTAACCAATCT